TTCATTGCCCAGCTCCCCGACTTCCCACAGTACAGCAGGAGGTCAGCAAGGAAGCACGGGCTGCTGCCTGGACCCCCCCGACCCACTGTGGGGGCTGCTGCCATCCCTCGGGCAGCTCTTTGAGCTGCAGGGCTGGCCTTTGCTGCTGCCTGCTGTCGCACCACCAGAACTACCACTGCCGACCCCTCTGGCTGCTCCTGCGCCTCCTTCGCTCCACCCTGCACAGCGCATGGATGTGGTAGATTTCACAGTTGCTTGTTTTTTAAAGCAATCTCTTACGGGGAACCATACAGAAAAACTCAGGTTTGTTTGAGCCCCTATAATTTCCACGATAGCTCGTTCTGGTGTCCTGAAGTTCGTACCACTTCCCAAACATTGGCTGGGGATGTCAGGGACAAAATGGAGGTCAGCACTGGGGACGTGCTGAGGACATCCTGGGGTTTGGGGGAGGAGGTGGCCAGTGAAAACGGGAAGAGAGTTTTGTTTTACAAAGATGGTTTTGTTTAAACAAAATGTTATCACGTGACAAGGTTCTGGCTCCATGTCAGTTTCTCCTCAACGTGTCAGCAGGATCCTCATGCATCCCCTCCCGTGTCCCCTGCTCATGTCTGTCCCCCTGTTCCTCTCTGTGTCCCTACGTATCACCTCCCCATGTGTCCCTTCCACGCCCCCCTCTATGTCACTTCTGCTGTGTGCCTTCCATGTTGCTTCCCAGTGACCCCGTGATGGTTTCTGGTATCCCCAAAGCCACCTCAAGCACACTAAAGGGTCCCGGTGTCCTCATGGCAGAGCTCCTGGCATCCTCGTTGTTGGTTCTGGGATGCCCAAAGCCACCATATCCCCACAAGGGGATTCTGGGCTCCCTGTGGGGGTCCTAGTATCTCCAAGGCCATCGTGACCCTCAACCCGTCACCTCCTGCACGCATCACCACATCTCCCCTTGATGCCACCATGTCCCCTCCTGAAATGGCAGGAGATTGGAGACTCCCAGACCCTGCAGGGAGGTGACAGGGTTCACCCCCAGCCCCCTGGCCACAGAACCACGCAGTGTGGTTCTGGAGCGGTGCTGTTTCATCCTGCCACAGAGCAGGGGCTCCTGGAGTCACTGAGGGGACACTGAGGTGTCTCGAGGGGCTGCCGGGGGGGCAAGATGGAAGGGGTGGAGCCGGAGCTCCAGGCTGCAGGTCTCTGGGGAGTGACTGCAAACCCGGGGATCCCAACCCCTATGGAGCCCCCTCATGCTGCCCCAGGACCTCTCAACCCCTCCAAAATCCCTCAGTGCCAATGGGAACTCCAGCCTCAACAGGACTCCCCATTTCTTCCCAAATATAATAAAGCCCCTGGAAGAAAGACAGGACCCCTGGGACTGCACACACCCTCCCAGCCCTTGTTAGGACTCTCCCCATTAAAACAGGAGCCCAGAGAGCCCCACAACCCAATGGGACTCCCCAGTCCTCCCAAGACCAGTAAGACCCCCTCCAACAAATCATATAGGAGACCCTGAAGTCCCCAGAGTCCCCAGCCCCAATGAGAGACCTCCTAACCCTCCCACCACCAAGACCATCACCTCCCCCCAAAGTCAGGACCTCTAGGAGCCCCTAACCCCAATGGGATGCCCCCGTAGTCCCACTCTTTTGGGGCCCCACATTACTCCCGTGTTCTCCTGCTGGCCCTTGGTGGTTTTGGTGCACCCAGCATCTCCCATTGTCCCCTCCCTGGTGGTTCTGTGCCCCCATGTCCCCTCGGTCCCTGTCCAACTGGCTCTGGGGGCCCCTGGGCTGCCCTCAGTGTCCCCCTTTGTTCCCTCCCCAGTCGCTCTGGGTTCCCAGTGCAGAAGTCATTGCTGAAAAATCACAGTTGTGTGTCTGCATCTGTAACTTCGGCTGGAAGTCCTAGGGCTTTCTCACACCTCAATTAGAAAGGAAACAAAAGCAGGAAAAAGACACTGCAAGACACTGAGTGGTGCTGAGGCAGCAATGACTTAAAAGGCAGAGCCCTATACAGCATCCCCCAGGGAGGGACACCTGGCAAGAGATCAAATACCCGCATCTCGCTCTGCAGGTCATCAGCGCGGTGACTCGTCATGCTAGAAAGGGGTGGGGAAAGGGGGACAAGTTGTTCTCCTCACACGCACAGTAGAAGACAGTAACTTTGGCTAAAATAAAATTTGAAAGTCCCCCGTGTAGAAAGAATTTTGTGTCTTTTAATGAGGGATTTGGGACAAATTTGAAGAAATTTGAAGGAGAAGGGGAAAGGAAATGGGGACATCATCCTCCAAGAGAGAAGCAGGACAGCGCAGGGCAGGCAGCGGATTCCCGAGGTGGCTGTGCATAAATAAAGGGCAACCGTCGGCTTCTCAGTTCTCCGCTCACGCACGCTCACAGGGTGAGCTGCACCCCGCAGCTGTCAGGGCCGGGCAATGAAGAACAGCACGTCGCAGATAACCTGGGAGACCAAGGAATCCACCGCAGGTGACACGGAGATGTCCAACAGCCGCGACTCGTGCAGCGTGAACTGCGAGCAGCTCTCGCCCACCTCAGCCAGGGTGAGCAGCGCCCGAGCCGCTCGGTGCATCATGTCCACGCTCGGCGGCTCGCAGGGCGCGTTCTGCTCGGGCACCGGGCCGGCCTGGCTCTGCTGGCACCGCGCGGCGGCCAGGCCGTCCTCCAAGAAGCCCAGCAAGTCACCAACGCTCCTCTCCTGCGAGGCAATCGCCCTCGCTGCCAGGCTGTCCCCCTGTGCCAAGGCGGCCAGTAGGACCACCGCCATCTCTCGGCACACCGGGCTATCTCTGTTGCGGAGGAAACGCAGCAGGGTGCTGTACAGCATCTCCAAGCGGCTGGTGGGGGGAGCCGCGAGGATC